TTAACCAAAATCAAGACTATCACTCACCCATATATATCGTCAAATAGAACTGCCCGGTAAACCATAGGCAGAGAGGGAGAAGAGGACAACAAACGAGGGGCTGTGACAAACTGTTTCGTCGGAGTTTCACCGACTATATATATATCGTCAAATAGAACTGCCCGGTAAACCGTAGGCAGAGAGGGAGAAGAGGACAACAAACGAGGGGCTGTGACAAACTGTTTCGTCGGAGTTTCACCGACTCATCAGGAGTATATATATATATATTTTAAGCATTGAAAAAAACAAAGGCAAAAGCACTTCATAAAGCCTCAAAAGCACGTCATCATATGCTTGAGCGATCATGCACTCACCGGCAAGACAATTACATCAAACTTCTGCCTTGCACAATCTTCAATCAGCACATCCGCTACCAGTTTCACACTCCGCGAAGCAAGCACCTGTTTTGTAGTCTCCACAGATCCCACTGTGACATCAGCCCCTGCTCTTCGAAGAATATCGATAAGGATTACAGCCTCCATTTCCTCTGTTCCATTTCCAATGGGCACAAGTGCCTGCAAGCAGGAAGACAGGCAGGTCCAGGAGGGGAAAAAAAACAGAGGAAGGAAAAGATAAACACAAACACAATCAATAAGGTAACTACCAACCTCCCCTCCCCACACACACACCAAAAAAAAAAAAGAGAGGTGAAAAAAAGAAGAAGAAGAAGAAGAAGAAGAAAAGAAAAGAAATCTAAGCCCCGTTCCCAAAACTGAGGGCACATACTCACACTACTGTCACATGCCCAGTCGGGCGATGTACGCATATAACCGAGGATCCGCAATGTGATAAAAAGGACTGAACGGACAATGCAGTGCAAGTAGAATCTCAACAAGCAATGTACATTCTGACACATACAAAGATGGTGCTTTATAGCACAGGGGAAGACTTAGATACAAGTCCTGACCTGACCGGGACTGACCCCTCTCACGTAGTACAAGATAGCGCAGCAAAATGCTAGAATACCAATGGCGAGCCTAATCAATGTTGCAATGCAGACTAAACATACATCATCTTCATCACAAGGTGTGAAGGAGGCCTGGCACTACACACAGGAAGAATGCGCCAGGTCCTGATCATGCACAGACGAAGAGGAGGGGAACAGACGAAGAAGAGGAGGGGGGAGATGGGAAAGTCGTCAACACCGAGTCTTCGTTACAAGTCCCAAAGAATCCCTCATCAAAATGGCTGAAGCCCAACATCGAGTCTGGATCCAAAGGTCACCAAGCTCT